TGAGCGGCGTGGGGGCCTCCTCCCAGCCCGGCTCGTCCTCCTCCAAGGGGCTGCCTCCGTCACTCTCAGAGCTGCCTGCCAAGGACAGGCGGGCCAGTGAGGCTGGGCTACTGCCCCTGGCCAAAGCACCCCTCCCTATGCCCCGGGCCACCAGCCAAATGCAAGGGGGCAGAAAGACACTCCCCTGGCCTGCTTCCAGGGAGAGGCTTCCTCTAAAAGGCTTCAGACACAGGGCCTTACCTAACCCTGGTAGCGTCCATTGCCAGTGCCTGCTGCTGGGGGGAGCAGTGGGGGGGGCAACGGGCCCAAGCCTACCCTGCATTGAGCTGCCGGAGTGTGGTGGGGGGTGAGCAAAAGAGAAACCTACTGTCCAGCTCAGTCAGCTGCAGCCAGAGGTCTGGTAGGGGGCTCTTGGAGGTCTCCTGCGGCGGCTCCTCTGAGGAAGCTCTGTGGCCCTGTGGAGGCAGAGAAACAGGTCAGCCCCCCAGAGGGTCAGTGGGGATCTCCCCCCACAGGGGTTCTTGCATCAAGTTAGGAACAACCATGCCTTTGTGGGCCTTCTCCAACCTGGTGCTCCCCAAGGATCATGACCTCCGGCCCCAATTGTCCAGCTGGGGCTGGGACTCAACACTTCCAGAGGATGCCGGCTGGGAGCTACCATGCCCAGGCAAGGGACTTTTGCAAATGCCATCTTAGTGACTGGATTGGCACCGCATGATTAAGCAGGCCTGGCAGGCACGTCTGCACAAGACACTGGGCCAGCATGCTTTGCCCTTCAGTCCCATTTGGTTTCTTCATGGTCAACGTTCTGCGTGAAACCAGCAAACGGGTTCAATCGACAACCAAGTTAAACATGCCGCACGGACTGGGGGTGGTTGACCTGGATTAAGGGGAAGTCTGAAAAGTTCCTCTTGCACCAGATGAAGGAAAGGGAGATGGCAAAGCAACCGAAAGAGCTACTGAAAAGGCCACAGAGGCTGGGAACCCTCCTGTGGGTCAGCGCGTGCTGGCGCGTGGAGGTGTGATGCAATTCCTGGTGCACCTTCCAGAAAACTAGGCCCTTCACAACAAAGGGCTGCAGCGGAAGGCCAGCCTGCAACAGAAGGTGGAGGAGCTGGTGTGCGTGGAGATGCGCGTGCACCAGCAGCAGTGGCGCAAGGAGGAAGAGGGGCACCGACTGGACAAGCACCTTCTGGGCTCCAACTCTCTCTGGAGGTGCCAAAAAGGTACCCCCCTGACTTCCAGGTAAGTGTGGCCATGGTCCCCTTCGTAACCATGCTGGGGAAGCTGCCTTAGCTAGCTTCTTACAGCCACCGACACATAACATCTTGGTTAGGGTCCTCCAGAGCAGGTGGCTCAACCTTGGCAACTTTAAGACATGTGGACTTCAACTCCCAGAATTCCCCAGCCAGCTCCAGAGCAATGTATGTGAACAAACCCACCTGGTTTTGTTAACCTGGGTTTGCTGCAGCAGATAGCAGCCCCTGGCTAACTTGTCTCAGCAAAATCAGGTTAGTCCACGGATGGGAGACAACCAGGTAATCCCCAAGCTATAGGCTAGAGTGGGAAACTGAAAAGCATCCCAGATGGCGGCTGTGGCAGACAACTTCCATCTTGCTGCCAAAAAAACTACCTGGATGAGTCTTTCTTTTCTTCATCTGGGTTTAAGGTTGAGGGTAGGCATGAATCCTGCCAACCCAGAGCAGCAGCAGCGTTAGCCATATGCAGCCCCCAAAGCCAAGAATCCTTGCCCAATGCCCAAGCCATTTTTGCTGACTGTTCAGAGGGGTGCTAACAATTTACTTATTTATTTATTCAAATTTATAAGCTGCCCAGCTCCAACAGGCTCTAATTTAGCGGCGGAGAACCCCTCTGATGCAATACAGGATCGAGAGACCCTGCGGCAGACACGGGTTCACCCCTGTGCCAGAGGGACTGTCCAAAGCCCAGTTTGAGAAACCTGTTGGTCATCCACACCACCAACGCAGCCTCCATACCGCTGAGCCCCCCAGCGGGTGTGGGCTGTGCAGCGCCTCCCTCCACGGCTCCAAGCGTAGACTTACTGCGGCAGGAACACAAGAGCCAGCCACAGATCCAGGGACCTCTTTGTTTCCGAGGGGGTGGGACGTGTAAGGGAAGGAAGACAGTGCACCTTTGGCAACCCTCCTGCACCCACTTCTCTCCAACAGTGCCCATTTTCGCACTGTCTGATCCACACACACGCAGCCATGCACCACTTCTGGGTTCTCCTGGTCCAGTGGCCGGGACGACCTTCTGCCAGGGCCCTCCAGCTCTTGTGCCCAGGAGAGCCCAACCCAGGGAGCCAAGCCCTCCGCCATGGCTCCTCTCAGTGTTTGCTCTCTCACGCGCAGCCTTGCCCAGACGCATGGCACGCAGGTATGGTCTCCCTTGGGGGCAGGCCCAGGATACCTCCTTCCCAGTTGAGTGGCCCCTGAGTTGGGAAAGTGCTCTGGCTCCGTTTCCATGGTGGCAGGTGCCATGGAACCCCCCTTGCTGAGGGCGGGGCCAGTTCTCTTCCTCCTGCCAGTTTGCAATTCAGATCCATGCCCAGTTGCGCCTGCAAGGAAGAGGCAGACTCAGCAAAGGTGTGTATGGGTGTGTGTGCATGCATGCGTGCGTGTGTGCGTGCATCACCTGGAGCAAACCACATGCGCTGCAACCCCCCCAGAGAACCAGCCGGCTTGTGCCCAGACTCACCAGCTCCCCCTTCTGCCTCTGTTAGCGCTTCCCCTAATTCCTCAGCATTTCCCTTCCACTCCATCAACTCCAGGACAGGGGAATGTGCTGAGAGGAAGAGACACTCTGTACGTTCTCCACCGTCTGGGAGAATAATTTCCCCTGTTATGGATCTCTTTGTGCATTAATCGTTTCAGTGCAAGAAAGAATGTGAAATCTACATGGACCCCCTTCCAAGTGTAGGGCAGGTGGTTCTGTGGCACAAATATCCTGCGCTGCTCGCGGTACAGGAAGCCCACAGCCTGTGAAGCAGAGTCCAGGGCCTGCAACTAAGGGCCGGCTTATGTCGCATGGCTGCAGGGTCCAAAGGAGGCAGACAGGAGATCATCCACCCGAGGAAAGGCAGCGCCCGCAACCCCCCAGCTGCCTGTCTCCAATCCAAGAGAGCAGAGGGCCGTGCTGTGCCATGCTGACGAGCCAGACTCTGGCCTGCCCGGCCCCACCTTCCTCAGCCATGCTGAGCCACAGGCACACCCCTCCCCTCCCCTCCCCTCCAGCTGGAGGCTGGTATAGCCTCCGAAGCTGCCCTGGAGAGGCCCAGCCTCAGTGCCACCCTGGCCCATTAAGAGGCCCCAGTCCTTGGAACGAATCCACCCAGTAAAAGCACGGCTGGAAAAGCTGAGATCTGGGAAAGCGGCATTGAGATGGGGAGGGTGCGGGGGGGGGGCACAGCTATTCCCTGTCTCTTCCCACACCACATAAAAACCACCATCTGCTCTATTTTGCAAGTACACTTCACACACGCAGCAACATCCCACACACACACCGGAGCCTTCATGGTTTCCAATCAACATTGTGTGTATTTCTGGAAAGGGTCCATTCCACGCACGGCACTAAGTGGCAGTTGTCTGGGTTCACACACATTGCACTAACCCGCAGGCAGACCACCTTTCACCTAGCATGCTGGGGGAGTCCAACCTCAGGCACTTTGGGAGGGGGCTGCAACAGGCAGATGAAACACGACCTGCATTTTCTCCTACAGGCAAACATGCTGGCCCAACTTTAGGGAACCTGTGAATGGATTTTAACAAATCCTTCATGCTAATCACCAGGATGATGAAAAAAAGGTTCTCCACACTTCTTTTATTTGATAAATTTGCTCCTTCTTTTTTAACCCACATTCTGGTTTTTAAGGAGGAGCCCCCAAAGCAGCAAAAAAGCATTGAAATACTGAAGTACCAAAGTCAGTTAAAACCAAATATTAAAAGTCCAGAAAAGGTGAAGCAGGCATTAGGGACTGAGAGCAATCAAAGAAAGAAGAGGAATTCTGCAGGGTTACTAATGCAGGAAAGGGAGGAACTGCAGGCAGCAAGAAAGGTGGGGGGCTGCTGTTCCGCAAGTCCTCCATCTGTTGTTAAAGAGGGTGCGTTTCAGCACCTGAACAAGGAGAGGGGTTGTTAATGCAGCACTTCTAGCTTGCCTGCGCGGCTATCCCACGCACCAGGAAGAAAGAGGCCTCCTTTAGCGACCCTAACGCGGAAAAGCAGCTGTTGCTGAAGTCCGCTCGTTTTGCACCCAGAAGGGCAATTTGCTGCAAAGATTCCTGTGATTCTCGGGGAGCCGGATCAGGCCGAGCAGATGGAGGCTCCCCGGGCCTCCATCCGCCCACCCAGGCCCTTTGGGGCAGCGGGGCAGGTGGGAAACGCCCCCA